TAGCATCCCACCACTGGTGCTACCTACACAATTTGGCAATGCATTGCACAGTTTCCAATGCTTCCACCAAATATGTTTACGATCACAGTGTATCAGTCCTCCCGTATATACTACATTTTCTGATTATATTGCCAGTTATGCATTCTAACAGCAATATACATTCCCTATTAAACTGGGTCCCTGCTGTTACACAATGAACATCTGAAACCTCTTCCACTATTGTGCTGGGTAGAACATTGCCTCATTAATATAGCCCCCTCCTGCTGAACTTAATAATAGAGTAGGAACAAAAGTAGATCTCCCACATGGCAGGGAAGATAAACAATATGCTGCCATGCAACCAATACTGTATTCTAAGTACAAGGATCTGTCTAGCATGGATATTCGGGTTATTAACACAGTATAAACAATGTGAAACAGGTCTTAGAATATGCAGCTTCTTGATTTCTGCTTCTGATTTTTTAAAAAGCACTTTCAAAATTTCAGCATTGCTTTAAGATACAAACTATTCTTAGGAGGAGCCATGCCAGCAGATAAGATGTTAGTCTCAACCTTTCAAGCGCATATTCACCTGAGCCACAATTAAGAGGCAATAGAGTATATTCATTGGGTAAAGAGGATTTCACAGTAATTAAATGTTGCTTTCCAGATAACAACTCCTAAATTGTTCCAAATCCCTAGCACCTTGGGAGAAGTTGCAATAAAATTTAGAAGTATGGGGCCCTGACAGAAACTTGGCTATTCTATATAGATACAGAAATTTATAATCTACAGAGTATAGCTGCACAACAGAGAAACTTCTCTAGATGTTATAAGCAACCACTGGGAAAAGGTGTGCATATACTTTGATCCCTTCTGTATGTCGCAGCAGTGGAGAAAATGGTGATTTCTGCCAAACAAAGCTATATAGGCTCCTTTCCCCATTGTTGCAGCACAGCTTTTCAGAAGCATCTTGCCATTTTTGAACTGCTATTTAAACACAACTATATAGGCCTATTTGTGGGTGGGTGGGTAGAGCTGCTTCACGAGATTTCAGGGGTGAACTGCTGGGTAGGGGTCCTGCCGCTGGGACCACTGTGGTGAATCTTGACAGAGAATTTGGTGAACATCGTGCCTGAGAATTTGGCCAGGGAAGCAGGGATGCAGCACACAGCTGGTTCTGGAGGGGTCAAATTACCCCTGGATCCCAGGAAGTTGCTCAGTTCTATTCTAGACAAAGGAACCCTTTCACAATCTTTTTCTTTAAATAGCTGTTTTCTAGAAAGAAGAGAATTGGGTATAAAAGACTGACTACATTAATGCTTACTAAAGTACTTGCTCCAAAATACTTGCTCCAATGTGCCTGCCTCAGAACTGCTCCAGACATGCTTGCTGCTTACAAATACTGTCCCTTGAGGGGTATATACAATTCCATCTGCATCAACAGATGGATTTAAATGAAGGCAAGGTCAGTCACCATGATCCTGATGGGTATTTGCATCAGCTGTATGCCAGGCTGTCCCTTGCTGGATTAGGGCAACCTAGAAGTGTTGATTAATTAGAAAAACCCAACTTGAGGTTAGAAATTTATTCTGAAAGGTAAAACCTTTCAAACAATGTTCATTCTCCTGGGCAGCTGGTTCCTGTTCAGACTCCTTTTCCCAAAGCAGCATCTCTTGAGCCCCAAGAGCAATTACTGGCCTCTCCTGCAGTTTCATACAGTCAAGTGCTATTGAAATAATTATCAATAAGGAGAAACAAGGAGAATTAATTTCTGTTTAGGAGCAGTTAGCTTGTCAGCTGTGCAGCTAAACCCCTAAGGTTATGATCCACTACCACTAATCCATATACAGCCATCTGTAGCTTTTCTAGGATAACATTGCAGCCAAGGACTGAAAGAGAAAGAAGTAAGAGATCCCATGATATTAGTTGAGGGAGAAATGCTGCTTTGGCATTTTTGTTTACTTATAAGAAAACTTCTCAAAACCAGGCAATATAGGTGAATTGGGACAATATGCAAACCTCTCTTTCAGAAATTCTTTGCTAGTTATAAGGAGAAGGCAGCTATGTCATGGTCTGCTATCTAGGTCTTCTGTGAGACTTTTTCTGTGGGAGAGTGCATCAGGTCAACCTGAAGCGGATAGAGGGTACAGTGCTGCACATGGGTGGAGAATCAAGTGAGTCCACAAGGTCTACAAAAAAAGGAAACTGAGTATCATCCACCCAATAATTTCACTCAAACATTATGAATGCTAGGCAAAGAAATGGCAGCCAGTCTAAAATTAAATGTTGTAGTTATGCAGATGTTGCAAGCTGACAGACACTGGTGTCTTTTTGCTACTTCGGAACTCTGATTTTATTAACTTGGTCAGACAGTAAATACCAGAGAGAAAAGTGTATGCATTTTTAAAGACCACACAATAAGGGGTGTGAGAAGCAGAGCAATGAAAGTGTAGAACAAATATAACCAAATATGAGCCTTAGAATATTTGTCCATTCCAATGCTTTAAAGCAGGAGGTCGGGAAAGACCTAGTATGGGTGCAAGCAGCATTCAGAGAGATGAAATGTTCTTTAGCACCAAAACAAAACATGCTTCCACGCACGTTGTCTACTGCCTGGAGGAGGTGGCATACTCTAAGTTTCGCCTGAGGGTTGTCCAAAGGCCAGTGCATATAAAGAACAATTTAAATTGAAAGGCAAAATGTTAGGTTAAAAAATTCAGGAAATATTGTCAAACTGGGAGAGGCATATGGAAGCCAAAGAAAATAATGCAAGAATGACCAGTGGCAGGATCATGAACGACACAATCCTATGCATTTCTGCTCAAAAGTAAATCCTACAGAGTTTAGCAAGATTTGCTCCTGAGAGAATGTGCTTGGACTGGCAGCCCTTTTGTACTGCTCCAATTGTTAAAAAATAATGATCCAAATACAGAAATTGACCTGACAGCAAGTTAGTTTGTGGCATATCAAATAGGAATGACCATAGTTTGCGGATGACCTAACAGGAAGCAATAGACAAGCAAGCTACAGAAGGGAAGCAGAAGTGGATCACTCTTGTAACCCGTGCCCACTTCCAAAGGGGTGGCTAGTTACTCATTTTCCTGCAGTACAATATGAATCCCCTGGCATCTTATGGACAAATGGCCTTATTGTGGCATAAGTTTTTACAGGCTTGAGCCCACTTCTGCAGCTGGGGGAATGTAAGTAGCAGTTCTGTAAATTTATACATGAGACACAGGCACCACAGCAACAAGCCCCATTGAACTTCCCCATATGGGTAACTCAAATGTGACATCTACATTAGTTTATATTTCTTGTATTTTTATACTTGTATGCCGCTAACTATTTCAACAGGCATCTCTAAGCGGCATTTCAACATTAGCTGAAATATTCAAGTAGCATTATTCTGTCCTGTATCAGCATTCACACGAGGGTAGTAGAAATACAGCTTCAAAAGAGTTTTTAGCTCCACATGAAAACACTCATGGCCTTGCTGTGCCTCTTTGCCACAGGAGCAACTCCTCCCTTCAGGCCTACCCATCAGAGTAGGATGCCTTTCAAGGGGGAATATTCAGTGTCATTTGTCCACATCTGTGCAAGAGGCTGGCAGTCCTTTGGAAGTCAAAAAGGCCAGAGTGGCAAATTAAAGTACAGTCAGCCCCCGCACCTTCATGGGGGTTAGGCACAGGACCCCTGCAAAAATGGAAGAACTGTAATTATCTCTAGCCAGTCCCCAAACCTTAACTCTTAATACTGTTGACCATACATGTACTGGATTGCTTCCCCCTCCCTCCCTCTCTTTCTCTTTGTGTGTTAGCCTACATTGTTGATACATACACCTACCAGTTAATTGAAAAACATTTATAATTGTAAAAATATCACTCACCTTAGGCTTATGTGAGGAATGGAAGCACTAGAAGCACTTCACTTTGGACCCTTGATTACAGTTAGTGTTATATTGCACTTTAAAGATGCAAAAGGATGTGACAAATGTTGAGTTAAACCACACAATGAGAGACAAAACACATGAGGCTGCCTAGCACTGAGACAAAGAGCGTGGTGTTCTCAAACGGAGTGCATAGACTGCAGGGTTTTTGTTTTTTTTTTTAGCATAGTCCGCATGCATTTCTGCAGTAGGCCACAAAACTCCAAAACAAAATCCCATTTAATTACTGATGAAAAACTTGAGAATGATCAAATCCATGAAAGTTAACCCAACAAAAGTCGAGGTTCAACTGTGTTCTGTCTTAAATAAATGTAGGATCAAGCTGCTAGCCTTCTGCTTAAATTTCAGAAGCAAGTTCAGTCAGTGTCACGAGTCACAGCTGTCTAGACCAGGAATACAGGCTGTGTTTCGAAATGTGTTAGAACATACCCCATTTTGTGTTTCAGGCTGCATTACAAAATGTGTTACAAAACACTGTTTATCACTGTAACAACATTATCTCTGTGTAACCTAGGTTTGCTTCCTACAATGTTAAATTATCACTTTCAGACTTGTTTCCAAACCACACTGAGCCTTGCAAAATGTTATCCTTTTGTCACCCCATATCAAAGGAAAGAGAACCTTTCCGATCTGTCCCACTGTTGTTTGTTTAAGAGCATTCCAGGTTGTTCCTGCACAGTGTCAACAGAAGACTAGTTTAGGAATGATGAGAAATGCCTTGCGCTTCTCATCCTGAGGCAACTTCAGCTGTTTCATGGAATTCACATTGGGATGAGAAAGCATATGTGTCTCAAGCTGGGGTTTTTTATTTATTTGTTTTTTGCAATGCCACTCCAACAACCAAGGGAAAAGAAAGCATGTGAAGTAGGATCCCAGAGACATGGTTGATAGGAAAAGATAAATCCCTCTCTTTGCAAGAGGAAACCATCTATTTCTCCTCTAATCGCTGATCGTCATAATACATGACTATTATGCTGCCTCTTTTCCACATGCTTTCCAAGGTGATTCCATGGCCACATTAAGAGTCATCACTTTCTACTCTAAATAAAAGTTAAAACAAAGGAGTACTTACTAGTGTCCAAAAGAGGTAAATTGTGAAGAGTGCGACAGTGAGTGCAATGAGGCCAACAGCTTCTAGCCTACTACTAAAGTGCAGGTGATCCACAGCTCCCCGCAGACACAACCAGCCAGAGATGGTAGCCAAAGGTGTTATAAACAAGAAGCACACCATGTCCCCAAACAGGGTTCGTTTCTCATGCTGGGGACCCGGGTTTCTTAGCCACTGTGGAAAGAATTAACACACAGTAAGTCTCAGCAAAGGGAATGCTTTCAATTGGTACTTGACTCTTTCCATAAAGGTCAGAGCTTCCTACATTTCACTGTCTTTTAATGTCACTGTCTACCCATTTGTAAAATGAATGATATTTTAAAAAGCCCAAGCCCCAGATCATTACAAAGGAAGAGATGGGTAGAATATACATATTTCTTCATCCAAAATGGTACAGAGGCTAGGACTTGGCTTTGATCTTCTATTTCCATTAACGGTTTTAATAGCAAGGGTCTCCATTTGTAGTGCCCCCCCCCACAGACCTTTTTTGGATTTGAATATTTCCAAAGAACTGAAAATTATTTTAGTGCTTGTAAATACATTTACAGCATATAAAAGCACATGATTTCCTCCTCTTAAATCTAGACCTCCTCATGGTTTGTCTGTAAATGCTGACTTTTACTCACAAAAATTCAAGTCAAAACACAGTAATTTAGGGAATGCACTCAGTGGTTTTATTTTGAGGTTTGATGTAAGAATGAATGTCAATGTTTTTTGCATCATAAAGTCTGTTTTATATTTATACACTGGTAGATGTAGGTACAGGCTAGAGACTATTCCAGTCTTTATAGACAAGCCTGAAGGGCAGAGGAGAGAGAAGCACAGTTGTTGCAGATGCCAATAACCTCCTACTAATTGTTTCAAAGTTAGATAAAATACATTTGATTGTTACAGATTACCATTTAAAAGCCTCAATTTATAATTCAGGTATTTGGGTTGCACAAATAGTGTTTCTGAACAGCAACGGCCTTCATTTTCTGTGAACCTCTCCTAGTGACCAGTCCTAACATACACAAAATTCCAAACTCCTAATCTAGTCTATCAGTGTTATTCATATTCAATTAGAGCCACACCTTGACAGAGATGATTAAAGAGGGACAGCAAGGAAGAATTCTTGCTTAATTATATCCCCCATCCAAGAACCTTGAGGTAACATACATGGTACTTCTCCTCTCACAGCATCCCTGTGAGACAGATTAGGTTGAAATTATTACTATTTAATATTACTTATTACCTCAAGGGTTTTGAGAATTATTACCCAGCCTTATAGCAAGGAGCTGGATGCAAATTAAAGCCTGGAATGGACAGATGGTGACCTGGTCCAGCTCCTTACTCAGTATTGCAAAGTGCTGTTTGGCATGAATGGTGTGGCTGCAAATTTAGTTTTCTAATCCAAGGAATTTCTCCTGTGTTGGTGAGATACTAAAGGTATGATACAAAGGCAGTAATAACTCTCTACAGCTGTATTAGAAATTGAAAAGAGAGAAAAGGGCATAGTGTAGGACATGAAAAGCAGAAATGTCACAATGCACAAACAAAATAGAAAGGGTAAGTTGGAAAACAGAGTGGAACAAATAAATGTTTCACCTCCCAAGAATGTAGCAAGCAGGTCTGCTCTACAATGAGATGGAGCTCAAGTCAGTTAGGTTTAGAGTAGTCTCACTGAAATAACCGGGACTTGCCATGACTAACTAAAGTTCCACTGATTTCAGTGAATATACTATAAGTAAAGATTCAGCTACATAATTCGAAAGATTTGGGTTTAGATATGTTATAATGGCAGCATGCTTCTTCCTGTACAAATCACCACCAACAACTTGTTGCATACTAGGAATCAAGGAATGTTTATGAATACAGTACAAAAGTAGAACAGGAAGTATAACAAGAAAACATCTTGCTCATGACAGAGAGCACACAAACCTACCCATATGCTAACAACTGACGGCATCCTCCAAAGGAAGTTTAGAGGGTGGTCAAAAAGGGGGGGAAAAGAAAAGGAAAAAGAAGAAGAGGGATTTCTTGATAGAGACCCTTGACTATGGAACGATCTCTCCCACTGAAGTCTGCCTGATGCCAGCATTGACATCTTTCTGGCACCAGATTAACATTTTTCTCTTGTCCTAGGCATTTGATGGGATATGATGGGGCTTTTAACATCAGTTGTTCTATCCGGCCCTATTTTGGGCTGTTTGAATTGTTTTTAAGTTTTGTAAGTTGAGCTGTTTATGTTTTAAAAATTTTGTGAACTTTCCAGGGAGCAATGGCTACTGGGTATCAAAATAAAATTAATAAAGCTGATGATGATTTTCTAGAATTGTCTTAGTTGCTGATTTATCCCACAGTTCGATTTCTTGTATTAGATGGAATGAAGCAAAGTTCAGACAGGTGTTAAAAATAATAGACAGACTGCAGTATGCAATCTCCAAGTGTCAAGAACTGTTCATGTAAAAATGATCCATGCAAACTTTTAGAAGAACCACCCAGATAAATAGATCTTCTAAAAAAGATTATTGTTAGCAAAGCAATTTCAGTCCACCGCATAAATTCTAACATTCCTTTTAGGAATCTGGCAACAGAGCCAGAAGCTTTATCACTAGGCCATCCAGTGTGGAGCAGGATCCATCTTTTGATGACAAGCTGCAAAATTAGAGGCTATTTTGAAGCATTCTAGCATCCCCCTTGCTCTATGGAATGTTGCAACAGTGCATTTTGCTACATTTCATCACTACAAATAGTTGCATTACTTTACAAATATGCTTAACATATTCAACTGGATTGTACCTGGAGAAATATTATTTAGATTCATTTCAAGCTTAAGGCCAGGTTATGGAACAGCAACTGTTTTATTCAGTTTGGTCCCCCGCACAGCTTCCCCATGGGTCTTGTCCCCACAACCTTCATCCCATAATTCTTTTCTCCAGCACCTCCAAGTCATGGGACCCACAGGCACTATGGGGAAAGAAAATTGAGATGGTGGGTTAGCAGCAACCCACACGTGTCACTTTGCAGCCACCCAGCATAATTCTATTTTAAGAAAATCAGGATGGAGTCAGGTGGGTTGCAGGCAAGATATTTTGGGCATAATTATATCTTGGACAGTATATTTGGGACTTGGACTCTAGGAAAATGCAATGGTTTAAGCTAACCAGTAACAAAGAATTGGAAAAGAAACAGTCTGCAGTAATGAAGGAGGACAGCCAACTCTATTGCCACTGTGAGAACCAAATTATACTTCACCAGGGAACAGTCATGCTGAAATTTCTGCCTTTTTTGAGCTAATTCCAACCAATTAACTGCATTCCTAGCCATAGACAACGAGATATCTGCGAGAGATTGTTGCAGAATTGTCAGAGTCTCGATACAACATCACTGCTTCGACACCATGGAAATAATTTATAGAGAGAGGGGAAAAGAGAAAGCAAGAAAGACAAACCTAAAGAATCTCCGTGCCTCTCTCTTATGAATATTATTACTGCAAGACAGTATGCAAAATATCAACTGAAAGTACACTTTCAGAAATGTAGGTTTGACATTTACCTCAGACCAACTAAAGAAATGGCTGTGGTAAGCTGCACTTGTAACAACTAATAATGGTTCAGCAGTTATATTTTAAGCATCTTATCTCCCTCTCTTGACTCAGGTTTACATTTTGAACATGGGAGCAACTCTTTCAATGGTCGAGTTCACACATCACACTAAGCCACGCCATGAAAAGCCCTCAGTGGCTTGGCAGTTTAGGCAATTCATATTATGCTTGATGAACTGGGCCAGCCATGACTTGTTCCCCTCATAATTCCCCCTCAGTCCTCCAGTTGTCTCCGGCACATAGCCCAGCTACCTCTGAAGCAAAAGCTGCATTCTGTGCTCCCTTGTGAAGCAGCAGATTTTTTACGATTCTGTGCTTGGTGTGCCACCATCGGCTCCTGCTGGAAAGGTTTCTGATCCCTTCTTCATCCCATGATAGACAACACCTGCTTAAACTTGTTTTTCTGATTAAACATGCAAACTTTAAAATGCCTTTTCATGTTTCTAATTAGTTGTTTTCCTTGCCTGCCTGAGCAGTGCCTTTGTTCATCCACCTTCCCTCCTCACCCATAGAAATGGCTCTCACTCAGCATCTTATGCTCTCTCCCCTCTTCAACTCCCCAGGAGTTTTAGGCCATTCCTCCCACATCATTCAGTGAAGCTGCTTTAACTCACCCTCCCTCCTGCCTTTGGAGGAAATGCGCAGTTCCCTCCAGACAGGGAACTCTCATTTCACTTAGGTTGCCAAATTTCCCCTGCCACTTTCCTGTTACACCATCACAAGGCTTCTGGTCTCATACTCTGCAGGAGTCCCTGGACCTGTGGACATATCCAGAGACTGACGAATGTGCCAAATTTAGTCTCAGACCTGAAATGCACCTGGTCTGTTGGACTTGCTCTGCCTTGGCCAGGATCCTGAATGCATCATGAGCCAACTCCTATGATGCTTTTATGGAGGGCTTTGTGAGAAGACTGGCAGAGAGGACTCACTGTCTGTCTCCATTGCGGGATCCATGCTGTTGTATGGAGAGCAAATCTCTATAGCAAAGCCTGTAAAAGGAGCTGAAGCAACTGATTTTCCAGGTATTAGTTCTCCCACACAGGCAAGGTGTATAGAACAGGCAGTCCCCGGGTTACAAACAAGTTCTGTTCCTGAGAAAATTGAAATTTGTTTTTAAGTCGAATTTGTATGCAAGTTGGATCACATATAGTAGTGCCTCCACATTTGTGGGGGTCAGGAGCCCAGGAAAAGCCATGAGCAACTCTATGACCCACCCCACCCAAACTCACCTGCAGCTTCTCTTTAAGGCAAGGAAATACTGGAGACATTTCCCTCTCCAGATGGGTGGGGAGGAAGGACTGCTTGGAAGGCCTTCCTCTCTACCCTTGAACTTCCTCTCTCTTTGTGGTGGTGTCAATTTTCCACAGTAATCTTTTTAAAAACTAATAGGCTCTATGGCAATTTGTTCCTAAGTATGGGTTGTTTGTAACTTAGGTATCTGTAACTCAGGGACTCCCTGTATAGATAACGGGGAGAATAGATTAGGGATTTGGGCATTAGGAGGAATGAGCAAGCAGCAGTGGGGAAATGTCACTGAAAAGGGAGCACTGTTAATACTGGTACTTGAGAGCCAGTGTGGTATAAAGGT